ATACATTTCCATATTAATCAAGTTACTTAACTAGCAAGAGAGACTGATATGCAAAGGATCAAGTAAATTGATTTGATTTACTGGTACAAGATCGGGTACAGTCCTTTAAAATTGGGCTATAAAAACTGGGACTCAAGCCGATCATGTGATCAAAATTATAGATGCAATGAAATGGTAGGGTAGTAGAAAGTTATAATAGGACCTTGGAGGACAAAATTGTAAGACTTTCCAGTTCTTTGCTTCTTACCAAAAAAAAAAAAAAAAAATTTAGTTGTAAAAGAAATTTATCAGAACAGTGATAAATACTGAAAACATTTGCAGAGGAAAAGCACCATGGCAGATGTTAAAAAAACAACAGCAATACTGTATAGTAAGGTAAACATACTAGGGATTAAATGTTTTGTCAGCTAGAATACTTTGTGCGATTAATTAAAACCTATTTGCAACCTTTATACACACACACAGACACACTTGCACCTTTGCTGTCTGTATTGTGCTCCCCCCCGCTCCGCCCCACAGATGTTCCCCCTCATGGTGATCTCCAGGATTTGGGCAATGTTTTTGAAGCATAGGGCCAATGAGGTTCTGCAAAGCCCGTGAGATTTTACTGGCAGGGCCTAAAAGACAATCCTTACTACCTCCTGAACTTCTTGGTAATGCAGAGCTAGTGCTGACCATGCCATCTCAGGAGCTACATGTGTGTTCAAGCACAAACACACGTGCATTTTAATCTAACTCACAGCAGGGGTGTACGACTTTATCGAGGAACTTTGAAATAACTTTTTATTAGGCAACATCTAAGCCAACGTTAACTTCTATCTCTCTCTCTCGGAGCTGATGAAGTTTAGAACCATTCACATATTTTTCACTAATTGTTGGTGTGTCTTCAAAATGTCAAATATGAATTCCATGTTTTAGTTTATTGAATAATGTTCTTTCAAATATAAATTCTTTAAAGATAGTTTCCTGGCTGTTAGCATTGATAAAATGCATGCACATGACTCACAATCAAGAGGTTTAGCGATTTTTCTCATGCTACACTCATGGGTGGATGAGAACCTGCATTAAAACAAACTCTCACCCGATATATTTTTTAAGGATGTGCATTCTTGTCTTATATCTAAATATGATTTAGTAAGATAGGATGTACTGGATGATAAGCAAAACCATTAATACCGAGATGCAATGCATTCATAACATTTTACTTAAATAAGGTCCTGCAGGAATTTATGTGGAATTTTTCTAATTTATTACAGCACAGATAGACATCAGTATGTCTGTTCTATGGAGCATTAGAAAAAGAGGCAGTATTGTGTAAGGGGCAACATTAAAGCATCCTCTGATTATCATAATAATTTCAAGATCCAAATTTAAATTCAGCTGATGTGGGATGAAGGTAGACTGCAGTGTTGTGACGTGCTGATGTTATCAGCAACAAAGTTGTAAAGCCATTTCCTTTTAAACTGCACCATACAACAAAATATGCACAGCTGCAGAAAGCTGTGATTTTCTATTTTTTTCTTGATAAAATGTGATGGAATAAAAAAAAAAGAAAAAACAATTCCAGCTGCCGTCCAGCCAGCTGTCATCCAGTCTTGTGCTATACCAGTTCCCAAAGCCCAGGAAGCTGTGTTCTTCGCCAGACTCGGCATAGCGAAAGCGGGTGGGCTGGACAGAGCCAGACAGCAATTATGCCTACAATTAACACAAGGCATGATTTGTATTGTGTGGAAAGAAGGCTGCCAAGCAACTAAAGTTGGTGACACTTTTGAATTACATAGTGTCTTGGCAAGCAATTAAGGCACACCAGATGATAGATGTTAGAAAGACACCAATAAAGACAATTACAAACAGACGCTATTTTTCCATCGAGAGAGATGAGACAATGGATGCAGCAGCTTTGGCCAATTTGGTTTTTAATGTTAGATATGAAAGTGACAGTTTACCTAAGGACGACTTTTTGTTTCGTCGCTAATTATTACAGATTAGTACTACAGCTGAACTAATTTACCAGACTAATTAGACCAAGAGCATGGAAAGTTAGCTGGGGTGATTGCCGGAACAAGTGAAATTGTGCCTGGAAATTTATCAGACTTATTGTTGCATCAACTGTTCGGTGCCAAAACAGTTGGAATTTGTTGAAAACAAATGTTGAAACTGTTAACTTCCTTCAAGGCTCGACCTACGCTTTCATGCCTGTTCAAAAAGCTCTGTGCAGAGATAGGCGCTGAACATACAGAACTCTTGCTTTTTGAAGAGACTGTGTGGCTATGTCTACTGGCATCATTGTGTTACATTTTATGTGTTTAATAAAAACCCCAAATCCTTAACTACTACAACTTTCTATAAACATTTATGAGATACAGCAGTAAATGAGTGCTTCGATCGAGATGTAGTTGTTTGAAATTAAAGTTTGCAACCTCTTCTCACTATGTGCTTCAGCTTTAGTTCTGTTGACACCGTTAAGTCAGTTTATGTGGCCTGACAGTTCATAGCTGAGTTGCTGTTGTTCGCAAACACTTTTATTTTGCCAATACATCTGACAGTTGACTTTGGAATATTTAGGAGCAAAGAAATTTCATGACTGGATTTGTTGAACAGGTGGCATCCTATGCAAGAGCATCCTATGATCTCTATGCCACCTCTGCTCCAGTGTCCTGTGGTGTCCCGTAGGCCTCAGTTCTTGGTCCGCTTCTTTTCACACAAATATATATTTACCACTAAAGAAGGAAGACTCCACCTCTCTTCGATCTCTGTTTTAGGTCTGGAAGATTTTAATGCCTGGGTGGCCCTACATTTCTTGAAATTTAATGAAGATAACACAGAGGTAATGATTTTTGGCAGATTCGCTGTAGATTCCCTGACCAATCTTGGCTCTTTGGCCAAGTATGTCAAGCCGGTTATTACAAATTCAGGGGTCAAGATGGATGCTGGTATTAAGCTGGAAGCACGCATTAGAGCTGTTGTAAAATCCATTTTTTCCACGTAAGGCAGCTGGCCAAAGTAAAACCTATTCTTTCCAGACAGCATTCTGAAACTGTGATCCATGCATTTGTGAGCACACACCCAGGCGCGCTGGAAGCTGTTTCAAGCGAGGGGGGCTGATGGCTGGGTTGGAAAACACATGACGTCATTATGTTGAGGGCTGTGGCCGACGTTTTTAACATAAAATTGTAGGCCTACATTTGTCGCCAAAAACTGCCATTTAAAATGCATCGGAACAAAGCATGAACATTTTAAACTTTATTTCTTCTCTTTTAATCATTCAAAACAAACAACAGCTCCCAATCAACAGGATCAGGAATACTTGAATAAAACATGGCCTAAATATAGCCTAAACTGAGCATTGAACGTCTTGAAAGTCCATTCGACTATGGATATGGGGAATGATTTCATATCTGAAACAAAAAACACATACAATAAAAAATTAACTAATTTCATATTTTATCACTAAATAGCTTAATACAGACAAATTTAGTGATATGCAGCCTTATTCTAGCGTAGACTTCTTCAGCCACAGGACTAAGATGAATAGGCACATAAATAACGCTAAATGCGGCAGTATAGGGGAATTAAAACCATTTCTTACCTCGAAATTGTCAGAAATACGTTTCTGCTGCCTATTGCTAGCCAAGCCTAAATGAATGTGAGGTGGTGGAAGCTTCTGGGGGAGTAGCCTAGTTTTTTATGAAATATTAAAATAATGAATCATTAGTTTATATCTTATACACAGCCCATCATTTTAATCCCATATCAAACATAGTCTTTTAAAAAATAAATACATAAATAATTTCATGTTTTTAAGTACAATATTATGTTACTCCACAGCCCCCCACCATGGGGGGCTGATGCTATGACGAGGGAGGCTGCAGCCCCCACAGCACCCCCCTTCCCGTGCCACTGCACACACCTGGATTACTGTAATGCACTTTATATAGGATTCAATGATTTATATATTTTCCAGCTTCAGAGGGTACAAAATGCTGCTGCATAACGTTTACCAGGTACGTCAAAATTTGACCATATTTTTCCTATTTCAGCTTCCTTACATTGGTTGCCAGTGCATTTTTAGGATTCATTTTTAAATGATTTGTTTTTAAAGCTCTCAATAACCTTGCCCCTCCCTAAGTGTCTGAGCTGTTACATTCTTACACAGTTGCTTCTGAAGGTGCCAAGGACAAAGTGCAACCTCAGAGGGGACCATGCTTTTTCTGTGGCAGCTCCCAAGCTATGGAATGATCTTCGTTTGGCCATAAGACAGGCCTCTTCACTCGCTGTTTTTAAGTCTCTTCATAAGACCCATCCTTTTTTTTGGCTTTTGGCGCAATCTTAGAGGTTTCACTTTGTTTTATTGTGTCTGTATATTGATATGCATTTTATATTTAACCTTTTCTTTTTTACTATTGCATTCTATTTTATGATTGTGTACATTATTTCCGTCCTGCCATTGTACAAAGTGCTACATAAATAAAGTTGGTATGGTATGGTATGGTATCACAGTTGCACGTTGGAATTCACTGAGCTCCTGACCGTGACCCATTATTTCACAAATGTTTGTAACCACAGTTTTCATGCCTAGGTGCTTGATTTTATACACATGTGGCTATAGGAGTGATTGAAAGAACGTATTCCAATAATTTTGATGAGTAAGCAAATTCTTTTATTGATGTAGTGCAATGTTTCACCTTTTGTTGCACCTTTTTTGACTTGCGTACCCCTTTGTGCTTTTTGTCTTACCATGGGTACCCTCTCAGTCAAAAATATTGATGATTGTCCAGAAGTGGAATGTACAATAACTGAATATATAATAAAATTTAAACAAATAAAACAATTTTACTAAATCTTTTAACACGAGCATTTAATTCGTAGTCACTTTATTCTTTCCATCTCAAATTAAAAAAAAAACAGCATAAGTATGTTGCCTGGAAGTTAGTAAGGAATCGAAAAATAAATACAAAATATATCATCATATAAACCTGTATTTGTAAAACTGAAGCTCCTGTGAGTAACTCCCTTATAAACACATTTAAACTTGATGAATTGGGTACAAAATACTGAGCAAAAATTATAGACAGACTGACTAAATCAGTTTCACTTTGTTTTCATTAAGACACCTGAGCTGCTTTGATGAGCTCTGATAGCTCAGTGTGAAAAACAGCTGATACCAGGCTGTTCTTTACTTCCAATTGCTCTGCTTGATTTTGATGTGTCAAACCTGCAGGTGAACTCAAACATATAAGAAAAACTTAGTTTTTGGTTGATAGAAGCTTGTTTATGTCATGATTGGTTTAAGCGAGAACCACTCAGAGACCAAGGGAAAAGTTTAACAGGTTAATTAAATGTAGATAAATAACAGAAGTTGGTTCTGGAACCCAGCGGACTGGTTTACCGGAACTGGAAAGTCTGAAGGGGAGATCACAGCGATCAGTTCAGGTACCAGAGGAAATTTGACTGAGGCTTGAATATTAATTGGAGAGGGACTCGCGCTTGAGGGTGCTCTTGTCAGTCTTTGAATCCAGCTTGTGGGGGTAAATCCAGAAAAGAGGGAACTCGTTGGAGGGCGGACAGATAGACAAGCCTTGGACCCAGAGGAGTAAAGGAGCGGACTGTCACTTGGATTTCCGATGAGTACTTAAACTGATCATATGGAGGTTTTCCCCTGCTCAGTGTGAACTCAGTTAGTCCTTCCAGGGTGAGAAGGTCCAGGTGTCCAGTTACTCAGGAAGGCTTTCTGCGGAAGAGCAAAGACAAAAAACTAGATAAGACTCAGAGAAACAAAGCTTAGGTTAGACTCTGCTAATCTCAGCTTGGCTAGAGTACCTAAAACTGGCAAATACTCTGGCGTCAAGGTAGTGACAGCCCACTGCTCAAATACTCCTTCAGTAATGATCCAACATGCCGCAGGTGGGCAGGGAGGCCCAACGAGGAACAGGGCACCACCTGGTGGTGGAGAGAGAAAAACACACAAACAACCCACACAAAGTTTACATTTTCAATTGGGTCCTAATAATGCGGAAAAGATCTCAGCCCTATTTTATACTACTACCTAAGAAATAAAATCTTTTCATGTACCCCTTGCAATGCACTCACCTACCACTAGGGTACCAAGTACCCCTGGTTGAGAATCAGTGATGTAGTCTTTATCAGGACTACTGGATTCCAGGAGGAAGTTTGGTTCCAGAAATGTTGGGCAGAGAGGAGGTGAAGGCCACCAATATGGAAGCGGGACAAGCTATTGGTATCAGAGTTAAGCTAACTGCAACCTTGGGTGTAACATTTTAACAATATATTGCTAGGAATGTTTTTAGAATAAAAAATAAAATATATTATGTTTAATAGTGTATATGCTTCATGTTTTCTTAATGTAAGTATTTTTTTTTTCTTATTTAGTGTTAAAATGTGTTAAAGATTAGTAATATAGATTAGTAAATGAAATCGGTTTCAACAAACATTATGCATCTCTTGACTCAGACCTCTGTTATCATTCATAACCTTAAAGGGGGCTACTCATCTTCAATTATTTTTCTGTATTTACCTGACAGCAGCTCATTCTGGTTGCATTCAATGTATGCTGAATAAATTATCGCTCCCTGTTGGTCTACTGTATTTTATTTCTTTGTTTTAATTTTTAGTTAGCTGTGCTGTTTGGAGGCTCAAAATGACACTGAAACCACTGACTGACGGTTTAATGTCGAGTAAGTTAGACCTTGACAGAAAATTATTTTACAAGTGCATTTTCGAAATATACGTTACAGAGAAATTTTACTATAGGACTTTTAATAAAAATAGAGGAGAAACAGTATTCAAACCTATTGGACATATCACTGTCCAATGGGTTTGAAGCTAGAGACATTATTTAAGCAGAGGTAAATGATCAGCCAAGGTATTTGCCCTGAAAGGGCACAAAAATTGACCAACATGTTTGCTGTCATAGTTTCAATTGGGAAACATTTCGACCATCTGGAACTGCCAGAGTTAGTGTAGCTAATTTCATGTAGAATATCTTTACCAAAGTTATGTTAACAGTTTTATATATTTATATATTTTTATATATTCACTGTGTTTCCAGTAGATATTTGACCACAAATGCCACCACACTACGATCACAAGACTTAACTATAACTATAAAGTTCCATGATATTGGTGGTGGTGATTTTCCATAAAGGAAAGTTAGATTACCAGTGAAATAACACTTTGGAATAAAGACCCATTGTTAAAGATTTTATCAGATTGTTTGGAACACTGAATCACAGGCTATGCTAACTTGGAATCAAATCACAAAGAGGAAAACGATTAATGCAGCTAGTAATGAAATGGATGTTACCCAGTTACACCGCCTTAAAGACTAAAGTTGTGACATGGTAAGACAATGACAACTGTATACTGTAAGTTTTCATTCCAAACATACACATCAGAATATACTGTTGTCCAATTTGCTCCCCTTATGGCGTTGTCACACCTTGACGATTTAGCTAGCGTATTCTGACGTCCCAGAATCATTTATAACGCTGGCCTACACTGAACTCTCAATGCATCTTTTCTATTTGGGCGAATACATCTAGTATTCATAACGAGTCCAGAACATATGTCCAATGACAGCCTAACTTATTCATAATACACGGCAGCGTAATGCTCATGATATATCACAAGCCAGGGTCCTGATAGGGGAAGCAAGGCTTTCGGAGGTGCCTGGTCTGCATAAAAAGCACAAGAAAAAGATTTCTCTAAACTTGGCAGTTGCAGTATCAACCTAGCTGCTGTTTCCCACACGCCAAAAAAAGAAAAGACAAAAAGAAAGAAAGAAAAAGAGAAAGAAGGAAGGAAGGAAGGTTTGCAGTCGCAGCAGATTCAGCATCATGTCTGCTAGGAAGTTTGTTAGTCGAAAGCAGTGCGGATCCCTCACACTCATTTTCGCGCTCATCCTACAACTGGAACACAGTCAAATTGATGAGATCATGCTGATGTTGGAGGACAGCTAGTATATATTCTCATCTCATCCTTGCCGGATCCTCCATCTCTTGTGGAACATCTGCTCACCATGAAGTCTGGAGGAGTACTGACGGTTTCCTCCTGTGAACCCCCTTTTATACCAAAACGCTGCCAGTGCGCCATTATTTAGTACCTGTAAGTTAGAAACACATCATCTGGACCACGTCAAATTTGTTGATATGCGTTGGAGATAAGTTCTTTAAAGTTATGCAAAAGTTACTCATAGGCTTTGGATCAGCTGGACACCATGACATATGAGTAACTTACACTTAATGTATGTCAACTATCAGAAAACTTACCTGTAACTTATGGTCCACATATGAGCATATGCTGGCATACATTACTTGCAATATGTCAATGTGTGCCAGCGTGCTTCAGCGTGCTTATGCTTGCTTATAATTTACACAGAATTAACCCATAAGTTATCCAACCTACAGCAGTGTTTTTGCCAAATATTTCGTACGTTGGCATACGCTGGCTAAATAGTCAAGGTAAGGTAGTGCCATTACCATATAATTGGAAGTTGGACTGGATTGTGACTACAAATTGCATTAAAGATACACTAATTCCTGCGAATCTCAAACAGGGAAGGTCGGTCTCTGCAACATATCATGCAATTAAAAAAAGAATGTTTACAAGTTGACAACATCATTTTCGCCTTTAAATTATCTAATGATTTTGTTATAGGTGTAAGAACGAGAATATCCTGGAGATTCTGCATTCAAAATGAACTTGTAACCCAAATAGTACAACAAGGATTATTTTGTTGCCTTTAAAATGTTGGTTTTGTAATGCTGTTACGTAAATTCTTATGATTCAGCAGCAGCACTAAGGGCAGAAGAAAAATGTACAGAGCTAAAGGAGAGCTGGATCTGTACAGGCCTATCAATGTGTTTCCATTTTCATCCTCAGAACCCACATTGGAAACACACGGCCCCAGCCAAGGCTTCTTTTGAAACAAGCGCATGTGACTGAATGTTACATGTTAGAAACACTGTTTACTTTTTTTTTTTTTAGAATTTAGGAAATGGAAAAGGACATTTCAGAAGATCTTAGGATGCTCCTACTGGCTGCCATGTTTAATAATCAAACCATGCGAATTTTATTTCCAATTTATCTAAAATCCAAGATTATTTAACATCAAATCGTAACTCAAATTAAGCCATTAATTTTAAAATTTTATAATATAATTACATTTTATGTTGATTCCTCTATTTGACCCCAACTTTATTATGGAGTCAAAACAAGTAAACCAATAGTCCTAAAGTCAGCACCTTCCTACTTTAGTGCACCTCTGGGAAAACCAGAAAACCACTTCATCAGAAGTATTTGTTCAAGTACAAATTACTTGTTTCCCAAATGTTCTGTTCATGATTCGTCCAAATGGCTCTGTTTTCGTGGTTCTGAAATTTTCCATTGACTCAACACACACAGCAAGAATGCCCTAACCCTCTGTGGAGGCCATAGTGAGTGAGCGCCTGTGTGCTTTAAGGGATAAAGATAGGATTCGATGAGGTTTGAAATGGGAAACAGACTAGTGGAGACTCTTCATGCGGGGATGATTATATCTGTGGGATAGTGAGGTCTGTCCTAATGTGTGTGCTCTGTTTGTCTGGGTCCTTAATACTCTTCAGGTATGCATGCAAGCTGCAGACTGGAGAGATTGACTGTTATAGGCTTATCTAAATTCCAGGACCATCCAGAAGGAAACTAGACTGCCTTGCAAAGGTACTCAGGAACATATAATGGTATATAATATTAAGGAAATGTACAGAGTATGTGAAATATTGTACAAATAGAAAATATTAATAATGTTGAGAGGATTTGGAATCATTCAGAGACCATAATATGTGGAACCACCTCACACTACAACAGCAACTGGACGTATTTTAAGTTGTGTTTCTAACCAGCTTTGCCCAGCTAGAGACGGTGAATCAGAAGCTCTTTGACTAGGCCACTCTAACACATGAGAGTACCGATATACATGGCGTTAGGTTCACCATCATTATAGTGGCAATTCTGCCACTTATTTCAGGTTGAATAACCTTAGTGTTTACTTATACTGGATGGCGATGGCTCTTAAATAGGTGCATTCTCATTTATTTCTCATAAAATACATTTTACACCCTGCTGTCACATTAAACTGGAAGAATAGTATGACAAATGTTACGACCAGCAAAATATTTTTGTACTTTGCTGAGTCCATGGCTGTAGACAAGAATGCCAGAACAACCAGAAAAGCCAATACATTCTTACTCCCAAATTGACAAATATTGACGTTTGATCAAGGCCGTCTGCGCATATGTTGATGCAAATGGGGTTCCCCTCTCATCACCTATTGATGCCCAGAGTAAATCACAGGTTGCGAACATTGTCTCACGTGACATCCACGTGACCTGAAACATTTTAGACTACTTATTGTGGTAGCTATAGGAGCATATGGTAACATGAATACTGGTGTTTCTTTTGGTTTAGGGGTTCAGGTAGGGGATGGGTAGTGCTATGTTTTTGCTTTGCAGTTCATGGAAAGTTTTGCATGTTCCTTATCTCAACCTGTCATGCTTTTCCCCCCGTGCTCCAAAAAATGAGTAGAGATACTGACGCACTGAGGCGCCCCCTCTTCAGGTGATGGGGCTTTACGAAGCATCAGTTAATGGGTTGAGAGTGGGGATGTATTGGAAAAGCTAGGAAGCTTATCAATACTTTAGAAACAAAGTTTGTGGTTTTCTGATAACAAAGGCTGTAATATGGTGTATATGAAGTAAGATGTTTAACTAAGGCAGTGATGATAATTTCTGTCATAACACTGGAGTGGTGGTTACAGAGGATGGAGAGGTGGAGACTGCAGGCTGCACCTGTTCAGCTGGACCTTGCTGGCCATGCAGCTGCCATCAATGGAACATGATTTTAAAATGAAAAATAATAAAAAAAAGTCATCTTTTCCTTTAAAG